TATCATACAGACTGTGTCTGTTTCCGCATCATCCTCTTCCCTGTCAAAATCTTTGTCCGGTGCCACTGGCAACCGACTTAACGCATCTGCATTTCCATGATCGGTTGTCTTCCGATACTCAATGGTATAATCATACTGATTCAATATTAGCGCCCACCGGGCTAAACGATTTGCAGCTAGAGTTGGTGTCGGTGTATCAGGTGCAAATAGTGATATCTAGGGCTTGTGATCTGTTACTAGGATGAACTTTCGTCCATAGAGGAACTGATGAAATTTATTCAAGGCAAAAATAATAGAAAGGGTTTCCTTCTGAATTTGTGCATACTTGCGTTGGCTGTCATTTAGTGTTTTTGAAGCATAGGCCAATGGTCTTTCACTCCCATCGGCATAACGATGAAACAACACTACTCCCACGCCGGTTTCAGAAGCGTCGCAAGCAATACCAATAGGTAGTGATGGGTCNGTGCACGGTAACTATGTAGAATCAGGTAGGTAGACTAAGCCCTGGGAAGTGTTGAAATGATGCTTGTTGCTCTTTACCCCACTCCCATGGTATATCCTTTCTGGTCAACCTGTTCAGAGGGCTGGCTATGGTTGAAAGGTTTGGTAAGAATTTACCGTAGAACTGCAATTTCCCAAGGAACGCTCTCAGTGTTGAGACATCTGTCGGTGGTGGCATTTTAAGTACCGCTTCCACTTTATGACCTTTCGCAACACCTTGACTTGATAGTTTGTGTCCTAGGTACTCAATTTCTGCTTGTGCAAACTCACATTTCTCCCTCCTGCATCTTAGACCATTCTCCTGCAAGCATTGTAGAAGCTGTCTTAGGTTATGTAAATGTTCCTCAGCATTATGTCCACTAACTAGGATATCATCAAGATATACAGCAACACCTGGAGGGTTACCTATCAGTTGTTCCATGATGCTCTGGAAATAACCTGGTGCACTTTTGATACTAAAAGGTAGGCGCGTCTGGAGGAGAACTCCTTGGTGAGTATTAAGTGCCAGTCGTTTTTGACTTTCAGGACCCAACCGAATCTGGTTGTAAGCATCTGCTAAATCAATTTTAGTGAATCCATGGCCTCCAGACAATTTACGCATTAGGTCTTCTGGCAAAGGTAGTGGATGGCGATGATCCTCTAACTGTGGATTCACTGTTGCCGAGTAGTCCCCGCAAACTCTTAATTTATTATCCTTGCGTACAGGGACCACGGGTGTACCATATGCAATAAACTTAACAGGTGTCCAGATACCTCTCGTTATCCCTGCCTTATAGGCTTGAGCCAAGTCATGTTGTATAGCAAAAGGCACTGGACGCGCCTTACGAAAAACTGGCGTTGAATTCTCTTTGAATTTTACTTCCAGTTC